TCTGAATTGGTCCATCACAATTTCCTGTGTATAGTGATAATCACCACCCGGTATATAATCTAGTCATAGTTGCTGATACCACCTAAAGGAATTCAAAACTGCAGTCAAGCTTGGATGAGATAGCCTTTTTTAGAGGCAAGGAGAAATGAAGTCCAATAGTATCCTGAGGCCCAATCCCCATCGAAGGATAACTCAAAGATAAGTACTTATATCACCTTAGAAGCGACACAGAGTGACTAAGTTCTTAAATAGAAATAACCGATAATCTCGAAAACCACTGCTAGATTGCGCAAAGAACACTGTAGCATATAAAATCTAAATGAAGACGCTATATACATGAAATAGATCGTAGCATAACTAATATTTGACATTTGGAACTTGGAACACTGGTTCCCCTGAAAATGTAGGGACAGTTATCCTTGAATCTAGGGCTCTACACAACATAAGATCCACTAACTGAGGAAATAACTTTATGAACGAATGGAATGTTATTTTCTCTTTTAGTTAGGCATCGTATGATTTATTTACTTATTTCATGCCCAACTTACACGCTTGAGGATTAGGGAAGTTGATACAGGAAACCAAAGTCAATATGGCCATAGCTGCATCCATACAGAAATAAACCAAAGTAAAATCTTTGAATGGTGAAGCGAATTTAGGCATGTGGAATAAAAAAACATAGTAATACATATTTGCATACATTTGTATGTATTCAATGTTCAAGTTATATAGGGTATAATAACACAATCCAGATTCGAAGCCAACCAAACCCCCTTGCCTTGATCAGCAGTTTTTCTCGTTCACTTTTCTTTCTAGTCCTCTCCTTAGGCCTATCCATCCGCCAGAAATATTTTGATCTCAATTTCCTACATTCGTTTCTCCTTGTCAGGATTTTGGTTGTTTAGTTTATTCGAAAAAAAGTTGAGTTTCGAGGAATCTCTTGATTCATACTTGTTAAGCTCATTGTCATTCTTGGTGAAAAGATTTCAACGTCGATCTCACCAGAAGAAGACGGCGGATTCCTCTTTACCAGTTGTCGATTGGCTTTACTGGAAAATTCATGTTGGCGCTGTTTTCAAGGCAACCTCTTTCAATTCCGGTGAAAATATGCTAATATTTCATGTTGGAATGTCTTCCAGTTCGTAAATTAGCCTCACCGGAAACTGCCTGGGGATTGCAATGGAGCTGTGACTGTAGATTTGTGCGAATATGTCCTCGGCGCACCGTCCTGAAACCCGACGAACCCTTGCGGAACTTTAATCTGTTATGTGACGGACATCGTAAGAACAGGACGCCATGCTTTATAGTAATTCACTAAACACAGTGACAAGAAAGGTGGCCGGCTGCAATCCTACCTACTTTATATAGTTTATGAGTTGTTTTCACCCTATTTCGTTTAAAGTGATGAAAGACTTGTGGTTTAATTTTCCCACAATGATATAAGTAGAGCTGATGTTTGCCACTGAATTTCCCATAGCTTTGCTTTCCCAAAAGGTGTTCTCATCCAGAGTGGACTGCAGTTTCGACCTCGCATAGGTAATATCAACGCCCTAAGTAGAAGTGATTTTCTGGTAGTCTTGAAGTCTATTCACTAAGTAAAAAAGTAATGTCGTCGATTGTTATAGCAAATATAAGTTTGCTTTATCGATAATCCCAACACAAAATGTCATATGGAAATCCCCTGACATTCCTTGAAATTCATATCTGCCCTGTGACCCAATTGCACTAG